TTGCTCTGCTTTTCCGTTGTTGTCCTTTTGATGTCGTGATTTTTAAATGCTGTTGTTGTTTTAAAATTTAAGCTCATTATGCTTTTTGTCTTCTAGGCATTCGTCGTTCTTTTCTTTGTGGTGTTTTCCTAGCTTTGGTGTTTTAATAATCGTTGTTGTTTCAATGGTATTCTTTAAGCCTTTAAATAAGAAAAAGGTTTCTGAGAAGTTAGGCTATGTTTAATTGGTAGATGTCAGTTTTGGGTATTCGTCGTTTTCGAATGTCGTCCTCTTTTATTATTCTTGTCATTTTATTGTTTTTGTCATTTTTTAACTCTATGTACGCTTCGACAAATCCTTAAGCTCATATAGGGTGCGTTCTTTTCATAACTCAAATTATAATTTTAAATTTTTTTCTGTGAAAGAAAATATTATAATAAAAAAATTAAATTTAAATTATTATGAGAAAAAATACTATAAAAAAAATTGAGTTTTGAAAAAAATAAGGTCATAATCACATTCAAAGACATCCTCTTCAGTTCTATCTTACGCCTTATGTGGCATTGCGCCCAGAGTACAGAGACTCAAATAACGATAAGTCGATGATGGGGTAGAAAAGGAAATAAAGGAAAAAAAGAAAAAAAAAAAAAAGGAGAGAAATGGTCATCTGCATGGCAATAGAAGAAGAAGCTTTGTGGTTTGTTTTTTTCTTTTTTTCTTTTTAAGAAAGCTTTTTGGGTTCTTTATTAACGGGCTTGTCGCCAAACTATGTACGGCACCTTTTTAGAAAATAGAAACGAGGGAAAAAGACAGTATTCAGGGGTTATTTGGTTGGGGAATTCGTACCTCGATTCGAATCATAATTCATGATTTGTTACAGTATTTTCTCTTATAAAAAATACACGTAAATTGAAAATGATTCTAATCTATGAACCAAACGTCTCCTTAGATATATAATTTATTATAGTTACAAGCTCACTCTAGTCATACTAGTTTGAAATTTACATTGAAGAGTCTAGAATTCAAACTCGCTCTCCTTAAGTTTAAAAAAAGAAAAGGATTGGCATTTTATCTCAACTACAATAAAGACCCTTTTTCTTGAAAATACACATACTAGTTGAGGTTAATTAAAAATAAAATAAATAAAAATAAATAAACATACCAACATTACATTTTCTTCCTCAATGCAAGATTCTTTGATCCGAATCAACTCTTTTCAAGCTTGAAACGCTCTCGAACGTAGGAAATATATGAAGCAGCCTTGACATCCACATTCTCATCATCACCACCACCACCACCACCACCACCAATATTATAATGATAATTATTATTATTATTATTATTAGTATCTCTATGGCAATTCCCACCATAATTAGAAGCATCATAATAATAGTAGTAATCAGGCAAGCCATAATTATTTTTAGGCTTAACAAAGGTAGTAGTAGTAGTTTTGTGCTCCATCGGTTGAGCACCAAAAGAAGCTCCTTTTTCTTCACTTGGGCTTGGCTTGATTTTGTTGCTTCCAAATCTTGCAATTGAGTTGGGCTTCCCAGCTGCTTTGAAGAGACTTCTCATGAACCCTCCTGATGATCTTCTCTTCTGGGTCTTCTCCATTTTTTTAAGATATTCAACTCAAGAGAGATGACAAGTTTTTTTTTTTTTTGCCCATTACAAGAGAAACCGCCTTCTCTTATATATAGAATTTTGGATTAAGTGTAGTTTATGTGGCTAAGTAATTCTTTGTAATTATTATTCTTATTTTTTCTTTTTGTTGGTTTTTCATGTGGGGTTGGAATGGATAGGGGCTTTGGCTTGCACATCTTTTTTAGCTTTTAGATTAATATGTATGGATGAGGAATATTCCCATCTATTAACATGCTCAGATATTTGATACTGTTTTCTAAGATTTTATAACTTGGAAGGAATAATTTTTCATTAGGCAACCTGAAAGATTTGGTGCTTCTTTTTCTTTTTCTTGGTTTTATGATATCTTACCAGAAAATATATTGCCAAAAGATTTGAGATTTCTCACTAAAGTTGTTTTCTTTTTTATGGGTCCATACTTGCTACGGTTTAAACGTGTCCTTTAAGACTGTTGACCCAATAAATATTTTCAAGCCTTAGAGTTAAGATGTTTTTGTTTTTTTGTTTTTTTGTTTTCTATTTTCTAAATATTGAATGATATTTTCTTCTTGGCAATGAAGCACAGGATTCAAATATCATACTCGGTGAAGAGCAAAAAAAGATTTTAGGTACTACAAAGAACTAATCTCTTGCCTCTTTCAACCGAAAGAAACCGTCATTGTTTAGTGGCTTTATTCCTCGTGAACCGTGTTGATATTGATTCCATCCATATTGGTATACACTTAATTTACCATATACCACTTAATTTGCATGGAAGCAACAAATTCATCTAGTTAAGAGAATTTTAAGCACCTTTAATGTTATCCAAATTCTTTGAAGTTTCCTTCTCTTCAAACGTTTTCATTTGTTCAAACCTATTTTACTAATAAACTGTTTAATTGGAAAGAGGTAAAGAGGTGAATAAAGCGAACCTATCCGGCAGTTAGTTGGGGTCCAAGGGAGGTGAGAAATAAGGAAAATCTAGAAGGAATGTTCCTTTAGTTAAGGGCGTATATATTTGTTTCATTTTTTAAACACGCTTATTTTCTCCTTTATGTCTTAATTTATGGGAAAAATACTAAAATACCACTCACAATATGTCATCTTTATATTTACGCCATTTAATGGCATAAACTTAACTTTTATGACACTCAATTTATTAAAAATAAAATATTCTTGTTAAGGTATTTTTTATTCTCAGGAAGAATGTCCGAATCTTTTAGACTTTGATCTTCAGAGAGTATTATAGTAGAACATCAATTTTTTTTTTTTAAAAAAAAAATCAACCAAGATAGCGAGAGACTAGAAGATATAAACTTAGAGTTGTTTAATTTTGATAGGATACCCCGTTCATTTTACCGATTCGAGTTTTGTTACAGTAAAAAGCTCTCAAAAACAGTCATATCTATTTTTTTTACTACAATAAAAAGCTCTCACATAAAGTCACATCTCAACTCGAATTAAAAACTCAAATTAGCAAACTAAATGGCCCTTATGTAAGTTTCTCTGTATTTAAGGGGAAGAATTCTAAAAGAATGGACAGAAAACTAAGAGGTGAATTAAAAGGGAGCACAATCCCTATTCTCAAAAGACCCTCTGCACTCGGCCACAAAATCTAATCCATCTATTATTCATCAGTAGAAGCTAGAAAAGACTCCAAAAAATCGTTAGCAAATGATGAATAAGTAACATCAAATAAATTACTATTCCTTCGTCATTTTTAACTCCCCCTTCTTACCAAACAATTTGAAAGGATTATTCTTCGCCATCATTTAGTGCCTGTTTGGAATTATTTCAAAAAGCGTTTTTCACATTTTTCAAGAACAAAAAAATGAAAATGCTCTCAGAAATGCGTTTGGCACCGCATTTCCTAAAAACAAAAATTGAAAACGTTACAAAAACTGAAAACGATTAAGGATCATTTTCGTTTTCATTTTTCTTTCCCCCGACGGCCACCCCCCCACTCTTCTTCTCATTTCCTCTGTAGTTTTCATGTATATAATGTTTATTTAATATATTATTATTTAACATATTTAATATATTATTATTTTAAATATTATTACATGTTTTTAAAAATTAAACCACCAAACACAATTTCAGAATTTTTTTTTTTTAAACTGAAAACAATCTCGAAATAAAACTACCAAATGCATTTTTAGAAATGATTCTAAAATGAAAATGAAAACGTTTTCATTTTCATTTTTTTTCTTTAAATATTTCTAACTTCGAATTTTCTTGATTCCGATCCACATCCAGATAATAAGTTTCATAAACGGGAGGTTTAAAAAAAGAGCGAAACGACAAGGATACAGTATGGAAAGTTAAAAAAAGAACTCCTCTGGAGCATCTTTCTTGGTATATCCAGATAATAGGTAGGAGCATAAACTGAAACATTCTAGAGCTACAAAAATAGTTATTAAATCGTTAGCACCGCATAAAAACATTCCTCCTAGAGTAGCTGTTAATACGAATACCAGCCGTTCCATGCCTCATTTCATAGGGAACCTCAAAGTGGCTCTATTTCATTATATTCCATCCATACCCCAATTCTATTCATTTAATAGCCCTTTGGTGTCATTGAGATAAGAGATGTATCTTGAATTGGGATCTTTTGGCTCAACTTTATCCCAGTTTTGCTGAGGGAGCAATGACTAACTGGAAAGGTCTCTCGAGCGCCTCTTCTTCCTAATGGAGGTGTCGGGAGTGGCCCCTGGGATTATAGTATAGTTAAGTAGTCTTCGTCTCTGTTGTCTCGATATTTATTTCGTGTACTGAGGCATAACTTTCTTCTCCTAATGGTTTTTTAGTAGACTAAGGGAATGGTCAGACCGTCTTTTTTAAAACTCTCGCGGGACTTCTTCTATTTTAGCCTTAAGACGAGGAACCTTAGTAGAAGTGGGCAGCTGCTCGGTAATTCTCAGTCTTGGGATTTCGGCTCTGTAGTTTTCATGTATATAATGTTTATTTAATATATTATTATTTAATATATTATTATTTTAAATATTATTACATGTTTTGTAAAATTAAACCACCAAACACAATTTCAGTTTTTTTTTAAACTGAAAACAATCTCGAAATAAAACTACAAAACGCATTTTTAGAAATGATTCCAAAATGAAAATGAAAACGTTTTCATTTTCATTTTCATACAAAAAACAAAATCATTTTAAAACGAGTTCTAAACGCACCCTTACATTCTCGCTCCTTCCTAATCTCTCTATTCTTATGTAAGCAAGAAAGTCAAGGATTTAGGCTTTCGCTAAACCACATACTTCCAATGCAACATCATAATAATACACAACACAATTAACATGCTAAGACATGTCACATTTGATAAATGCAGAAAACAACTCAGTTACAAAGCATAATTTTTTTTTTCTCGAAAATAGTGTCGTGTGTTAGTTTTATACAAAGCATATTGCAAAGTTTTCTTTTTTTATAGGTGTTTTACTAAAAAACTAATCAAGTTTTCATTAGTATAATAATGTTGTTGGCTTTCGGACAAACCACGTTATGGCAATTAACATTTTGGACATGTCACAGTTGATAAAGGCAGTGACTTGCTTCACCAATGAAACAAACAAAAGTAAGCATGTTACAAGGCAGAGTGTTTATTTTTGTCTTTCCCCCAAAGCTATGGAGGTATATGGCTACCACGAGGAGAAGTATGGTGATGACCGCGAGATGAAGATCCGTCAGGCCAAATTCGAAACATTTGCTGGCAATGGAGATCATCACTTGCACTGTAATCTAAAGCCAGGGCAGAAGGTACAAGTGGTTCACTCACCATTCCTAAACCACGGTAGTGCAGGCTGGGGATCGAGTGCTGAGCCCGCCTTGTGGCTGCGGAATTGGACTGCTGCACCATGTTGCTCAAACAAATCTCTTTACAAGTATCAGTTGGCGTGGATGACAGAAGAGAGAGAGCACAATTGGATTCATCGTTGTCGTTGTCTCGGTATAACCACTGAGAGTAGATCTTTTGGCTGTGGCCAGATGAGTTGTTCAATGCAGGATTTGAGTCCACAAGGGGTTGGGACATGGCTGCTAGTGGGAGGCTGCAACTTGAGCCTTGTAAAAATGAGAGTTCCTTTGCTCCACTATAACTATGGCTCAAAGATCCAGTAAAAGGGTGGTTTTTCCTCGTGCCACTTGACTGCGTATGGCTACTATATAGCGCCATGTCGCTCTCGGATTTTGCAGCTCCAGCTATAGCCAAAGCAGCGCTCATTGCAGAACTTGGAAATATATGTGGACTGGGGAATGGTGAGAATCTTGTACCTGCGCAAGAGTAGAGTTCTATAAGTTTATAAATAGATTACAAAAATGTTAATTCACAAGTAAAGTCTTATGGAATGTGGTAATGAGAAGAAATCCTCGAAATGAGGAAATTCAAACCTTGGTAGCTGGAGAGGAATCCTCCTGAATTCGTGGGAAAAGTTTCTGGTTGAGGCTTCCTTCTGCGTCTGTTGTGTCCATCAAGTCGTTTTCTACAGCTTCGTTTTTCCTCGTCAAACTCCACCAAGGAATGGAACCTTAAGAATGCATCCACATGATTGTTCAACTTTTAAGCTTACAAGAAGGCCACATTTGAACATAGGGAAGAACACAGCACAAACGAAACAGAACATGCATATAGGATATTGCAACATGTGGTGATATTAATCTAGACATGATCTAAACAAGTTATTTTTGTCAATAATTATTCAAAGAAGCATTCTGCACAAAGCAAATATTTGATTAAGCACCTAGGCTATTATGTGTGTGTAGGCAAAGGCTGTAGTCCCTTTTTTTAAAAAAATAGTTATACAAATATGTATGTATATAAAAGGATGAAATGACAAGAAAATTGATGATTTATTTCATACTAAAGAATTTAGTGCTCTTCTTACCTGCTGCACTGCTGGCAGAAACGTAGTTCCTGACCTCCGATCGTAACCCTTGGGGTCTTTGAATGGAGCTCACAAACCTTGTGGCGTCTGTGATAGTCCCTGCATTTGCTGAGGTCTGATTTGCACCCATCAACAAGGCAAGAAGGGACTTGGATTCCATTGCTTTGTCCTCTGATTCTCTTCAAAGGAAAAGTCGAAGACGGCTCCACATCTAAGGCTCCAGGTTCCTTCAATTTGATCTTTGATTCATCCTCCATATTTGTCTATGCTCCAAAGCTCAAGAAATCTTCTTTGTGAAATCCAAACTAGTTTTATGCCCCCCCGAAGCTGCCACAACCAGCATAGGATGCAAAGTTTGTTTTAGTAATGGCATATATAACATTCTTGTTAGCCTTTTTCTTAGCCAACTCATCATGACCTTAGTCCATGTCTTTTCAAGTACTAATCACCTAAACCAAAGATTTTAACCCACAATATCTATGTTTGAGACTTTGGGGTGTGGCGATTCGAATTTACAGCTCAAAGTGGAAAGTTGAATCAAGTGGATTTACCGCTAAACTATGCCTGGAACCATACAAATTGAGGATCTTTCTTTTTCTCTTTGTTTTTTAAATTAATTATGTCTAACAAGTCCGTTATGTTACAAAATTGCAAACCCAAATGGTAAATAAGAAAACAAATTTGAGTGAAGAATCAGGAAAGGAGTCCAGTAGGCATAAATCTCATCAGTCAACATAAACTTTTCGTGCTTACAACTTATAAATGGAATTTGTCTCATCATGGGAGTCAGAATCCTATCTTAATCACAAGCACGCTATTACTTCAAGAAATGATTTATTTTATCTGAAATTATTGCATAAACTATTTTTTCTGAAATTATTGCATAAACTATTTTTTCGACCATTAGGCTTCAATAATGGAACTAGTAGTACTTTTTTCACGGCAAATCATTTTCCACTTGATGCAAACTCTTCACTATAATCCTAAGGAGAATTTTATCTTTTGTTATGTTTAAGGATCCATATAAAGTTGCTAGTGGCTCCTTTGTCTTCATTGCCATTCATTTCAACCCCACAAGTGATTGTGCTCTTGCAATTGTCACTTGTTGTTGTGACCCACTTTTGAGGAATTTTATCTTTCATCATGAAATCAGTCCCACTAAAATAACACAGAACCTAAGGAAAGCCCAAAGATTATATTAAAACAAAATCTTATCACATAGTGGTATTACATGACCTTTTTTTTCTACTTCAATAGTAATAAAACTAAAACTTAAGTGGAAAGAAAGACATAAATAAAATAAGAAAATAGAATCATGGGTATACCTTAGAAAACCCCAAAAGCAAGAACTGAAGAATCAATCTTGTTATGGCAACTTCAACCTTGTCCAATGGCAGAGGAGCTCCCCAAAAGAGTTGATGAAAGAACTACAAGTGTGATCAAGCTAGAAACTTTGTAGACTAATAAACCACTGAAGTAATTGTATATGAAGTTCAAAAGATATCCAGAGTAAGCCTGGTTTGAACTCCTCATCCATTTGTTTCCTGACAGACAGTTCCACTCATATGTGTCTATATATATTTATATATATATATATATATATATATATCAAAGCAAATGGTGTTCCAAGGTCCTTATATTGGAATTATTGAGAGCAGAATGTGGATAATGTATTCAAGAGAGAAAGAAGAGAGAAGAGAGAAAATATCAAATGGAGAGAGACCATAGAGAATAAAGAATCATCTTCCCAATGCTACCCACTCTTTCTTCTTTTAGACTTGTAGCCTTGCAATAAGAGAAGCAATGTGTAAAGTTACTACTAAAGAAAGGATTTTTTTTTTTTTGTGAGAAAACGAAAAACTAAAAAACGAGTGGCAAGGAAAGGGACAGGGTGTTAGACTAAGTTGCTTTCAACTTTTACAAGTGAGAGAAAAGAAAAGAACAAAAGGGGTGGGGAAAGTAAAGAGGGCATGGGGGGTTTCTTGTGTTTCACATTCCATGATGTTATTCTCCTTGGGTTTTGAGCTTACACACGGTATAATTATAATATTAAACGTGATTTATTTTATCGATTTAAATTTTAAATTTTAAATTTTTATAATTAAAAATTTTTAAAAAATATTAAATTTGTTTTTTTTTATTATAGTTAAAAATTAAAAAAATATTATATTTTAATTTATATTTAAATTTAAATTCACAAAATGAATGAGGCATGAAAAGTGGCTCTCCTGCTCCAAACTCACTCGCTTGATTAATGATTTAACTCACTCCCTTATCCATCTGATTTCGACTGTAGTACTCACTATTTTTCAAGGACTTGGACTTTTAAGTCAACCCTCATCCACATATCCAATGGTGGAGAAGCAGAGCAAAAGGGCTTTTCTTTTGGGCACTTGGCAAAAGATCTGGACTTGCCAGAAAGCCAGCAAACAAATAACAAGCCGACTATAATAAGTTAGAAGCATTCCTAGTAATAAGAATCCATAAACGATGACGTTTGTTATAATAGTGTTAATGTGTCTTTTATTCTACATACATACATATATATATACACTCACAGTATAATCCATCATCAATAACGATAAATCATAGTAACACGGTTGTGCTTTCTTTTGGGCACTTGGCAAAGTTCTGGGCTTGCCAGGAAGCCTTGAAACAAATGAGAATTCATAAATAATTTGTTATGACATTGTTTATTTGCTTTCTATTGCACATATTAGTAGCACCCATTAAACATAATCACCGTGATTGTGGTTGAGTCAGACTGTTTTTTGAACGTCTCCTCAGTTCTTAGTCCGTTTGTGATGGATTTTGACCAATTCAATATTTTGTTTTGCTTCCCGTTTCTATTGTTTAGACTGTACTTATTGATGGGAGAAATAATATATAGTTAATGCTTGTCTGTAGGTTAGGACTGTGATAGAGCTAAAAGCTATCAAGTACCACCTATTATCTGGTAAGTGCTAAAATGTGTTATCTATTATCTACGTTGTCGCAGTGTCGCAGATTTTCAAGCAAAAAAACAAGTTGCGCAAATTTGACTTTCTTCAATTTGACAATTAGTCAATACTAGGCCGGTCATAGGAGTTATTTTTTAACTTTTTTTTTTTTTTGAGATTTTCTATTACTCTGACATTGTATCGATAGGTTAAATTTATATTTTTTATTTTTAATTTGATTTTATACATATTTAATAAATAAAATACTTAGCTTACGATATGTTAACGTGCTGAAAAATGTCTATTTTTTTTAAGACGAGTTATTTTTAACTGGTAGTGCTGGCAGAATTGCACCAACCGAATCATATTGATTCTTTAACTATAGGGCGTGTTTACTAAACCGTAAAAAAATATAATGAGAAAGGTAATGAGATTAAAAAGAAAAATAAAATAATAGGATAAAGGATCATTCATTTTTTTTTTATGTATTTACATGGCTATTAGATAGTGTAATGAAAAATAACTTCATTCCTTTTCTTATATTTATTAAAATTAAGAATAGCAATGTTATAAATGTAATCACTAAAATGTCCTTTTACATAATTAAATAATCATTGACTAAAATGTCCTTTTACATAATTAAATAATTATTGATTGTATAGTAATTTATTGAGAGTAAATAAGTAAATTTAACATTCATTCCTTTTGATAAGAAATTAATACTAAGAGGGGTGTAAGAATTGGTATTCTCTTTTCTCATTTTTTATATTGCGTAGGGCCCACTAAATCTCTATTATTAATTTTGTAAGTAAATACATTATTAAATAGGAAAGAGAATCATTTTTTTCCTAGATACAAAATAAACATGCCTATAATATATGTATATTTATAAATAAATTTTAAATGATTATGTTTTTATAATGATAATTTATACATACATATATATGCCGTCGAATATGCACTTCAAATGGTTTTCTTATTACTAAACAAATAGTATTATCTTAGAGAGAAGACAAAAAAAGAGGTATTGTCTTCGACGTGTTTTTAGCTTAGTTTGGTATTACTTTTCCCTCCTAAAATCAGCTTCTGTTTGTATGAGATGCTGATTTTAGTGTTTGGTAAATCTCTTAAAAAGTGATTTTTAAAGAATTTTGTAAGAATCTACAGGCAAAATCAGAAAATACAACTTTAACTTTTAGATTGTGCAAGAATCAGCATAGTACAATTAATGAAACTTTCATAATACACATAATATCCCTAATGAAATTTAAAATTTATAATATTCTCAATCTAAAATTCAGACTCGTAATATAATATAATATAATAGTAATATTGTAACAAATAATATCATAATTATATTAATAACTCTATTATTATTATTTTATAATATAATATGATATTATAATAATATTATAATTATTTTAATAATATGATGATAATATAATAATGATTATATAATATAATATAATATATTATATTATATTATAATATAGTTGTAATTTTTAATTATATTATAACTGAAATATTAATATTTCTTATGTAATATTATAATATGTTTTATAATAGTGTAATTATATTAACCATTTTAATAATATTATTATATTTTATATCATAGTTATATAATATGTTATTTAATAATAGTTTTATTGTATTATATTGAATATGATAATAAATATACATTATATTTTAATTATACATATTATATTATAGTATAATATAATATAATCGTTATTTTAATTATTTCGGTTATTATTTTAATAATATTATTATATTCTATATTATAATTATATAATATATTATATAATAATAGGTTTTTGTATTATAGTAAATATAATAATAAATATATATTATATTGTAATTATATTTATTATATTATAGTATAATATAATATAGTCGTAATTTTTAACTGTCCACAGTAATTAAACCTCATAATTTACCAAATGCTATTACACTAATTTTGAAACCAGCACAGCTGCTATAATTATAGTTTATTAAACACTCAGCTGCTTTTTGTAACATCTGTTTCTTCCTTCAGCACAGCTAAAAGTAATTTTTTCAAAATCTACAGCACTACCAAACTAAGCCTTTGTCTAATTCGTTTGATTGGTGGATTTGTATCATGATTTGAATTATGGTTTGTAATTCGCTACAATATTTTTTTTTCACCAAAAACACATAAAATTGAGAATAATTCTGAATCTATAAACTAAGGGACGTTTGTTTCTTATATTCATCCATGATTATAAATCATAATTTATAGTTCTCTATTTTATTTTTCTCTTATAAAAAATACATATTAAATAAAAATAATTTTAAATCATGATTCTGAATTTATGAATCAAACATTTACTAAACGTTGATGAGTCATTCCTTTGCGTGCAACGGAGGAATCATGAAATTGGCTTTGGGACTTCCTCTCTCTATTTTTATCGTTTCCATTGTGTCGTTATCGTGATATATGGGGTGGAAGATAAACAACACCAATATGTTTTTGTTTTATGTTGAAAATTTTGAAGAACCCATTTCCGACACAATCCAGATTCTTTTTTTTTTGAGATATATATATATATATATATTTATAGAATAAAGGAGCCTGTCCACAACATTTCGTCCAAATATCCTTTCAATTATTTTCTTACTTGAAAATACGGTGATGGAAACACTAATAATATCAAGCTAAAATTGGAAAGATGATAATGGACCAGCACAGGGACTTTTCAAAACACAAATCACTGAAAAGTGAAAGAGCGTAAAAAGTACCGCATCCTCTCTATTGATACAATACATAGTTACATCAAGATCATATCACAATAAACACAAAATTAATAGAACGTAATAATTTAAAGCTCAAAATAACAACATACTAATAAAATAATTTTTTATTTCAGAAATTTTCTAGTAAAATCATAAAAAATATATTACCGATAGTTTTTATTTTTATTTTTAACAATTATAACTGTATTAAAAACTATTCATTCTGTATATTTTTTTAATCTAATGTGATTTTAACTTGATATAATAATTAAAAACGACACTATCAATATAATAGAAACTCTTTTTATTTTTAAACACCCTCCCAAAAAAATACCAAAAAATTATCCAAGTTAGGTTTCCCACTTGGGCCTCAAACCTGAGGAACTCAGGCTGAATCACATATAGGCATCCCCCACCACGTGAGAAAGAATTTCCCTCTACGTCTCTCTACAGAAAGCCAATGGTCCCCTACCACTAGACACTGGAAGCCTAAAATTTTAATGAAATTGACCCTATAAAGTTATTGCCTCTTTAACAGCCACACCTTCGTTCATAAAATTATTAGAAGGCCCCATTTTATATCTCATGGACATCATAGCGCCACACTGCATTTCACCACCTTTTAGAGGAATATTCCAAGGAATTTTTTAGCCTTTTCGTATTATATATATTTATAAATTGGGTTTAGACTTCATAGTTATACACGTAGGCCTTTGTTAAAGAAAAGAAACCAATTAGAAGGAGCAAGAATTTTGATCATAAGAATTCCAAAATTACAACACTTTTCCAGTTCTCCCCACTTCGTGGGTCTGCTCATGCCAATAAAAACATGCAAATTAAGACCCTAGCTAACGATCATCCTTGTTAAAACAGTTAAAGCCTGTTTGGTTAGAAGATTCGTTCTCTGATTCAAATCATGATTCATGATTCGTTACAGTATTTTCTCTCACAAAAAACACACGTAAATCGAAAATGGTTATACTCTTATGGTTCTAATCTATGAACCAAACAAACTCTTATTCTTTTCTAGGAAGAACATATTTTTCAAGAAGATTTGCCTAAATAAGTAGCATGATTGATTGCCTTATTTGACACTAAATAAGATATCTGCTAAACACTAGAAATAATGAATGTCAGTACTTGCAGAGTGTATACTTTTACTAAGGAAAAATATCTAGACAACCGCAAAAGAAAAATTATCTACACCAAAATAATGGAGTTTCATAATATGTACAATTAAGTGAATGCATGCTGACAGGGAAAATAAAGTACAAAATCACCAATATAAAAGATAATGTCCATTAACAATATGCCATTTGCTCTAGCACACGTGAATTTGAGAGAACAATCAACATGGATGGCATTCACTCATCGTAGCTAAGGACATGGATAAAACTGAATCTACTGATAATAACTAGAGAGAGACGTGACAAGAGATAAAGACCTTAGTTCACCAAGAGTCCTGAATTCTAATGAGGTCAGTTTAAAATACATAGAATTAGTAATAATCTATAGTTCCTCCAACCAAACGTCCTATCAATGATTTCACAAGAATTGTCCCTTTCCTGAACAAGGGGAACGCATCTTTGATTATTTGGTGGACCTATTCCAACTACCATAGTCCAGTTGAGCAATCAAACCGACGAGCTTATAATAGTAAGTTCAAAATCAGCCAGATTAACGAGCTTAAGATCCGGTCCCACGTCGAAACACTTGCTAGAATGAATCCCTTCTCATTAACAAAAGTCCCTCCTTTCATATGATACAAAAGCTGCGATGGAAACGCTAGATGGGATATTTTCCTCTCCCCATACTAAAGCCTCGTGGCCTAAATCTGTGATGAAATTCAGGGAGACCATTAATGAACCATTTCTCACCCTATATATACTATTGTTTTAAGTACTGAATTAGAATTCTAGACTTTTATACAAAAGCATACGCTTTTCAATGCATCACAAAACTCGGCATTGCATTTAATAACATCATGTTGGTGGTGGAACAATCTTTAAGGTCAGGGAAAAAGTAGAGGTACCCTTTTCTTATTTCCAAGAGTAGAAATGCCCTTTCCATCCTGTTACGTTAAAGCACAGAATATAAACTTTAGAGGCTGAGAGTTCCGCGAGTAAAAAATTAGGAAGAAAAAAAAGTGATCAGACAAGGCTAATGAAAGTATAGATGTTCTTTAAAAAATGAGGATATAAACTATTTCGATAAGAAAAAGATGAGCATAAATATGCATAAAGGATTTTCTCAGGCGAATGCTCTATTATGATCTGCATTTTTAGGCCCGACAAGTACAACACAACTTTTCATATAAGCTACCTGGAGAGAGAATATATACATATATAAGCTACCTAGAGAGAGAATATATACATATATAAGCTACCTAGAGAGAGAGAGAGAGAGAGAGAGAGAGAGAGAGAGCTGCGCGCAGGCTGAAACCGGAAAAACTAAAAAACAAATGGAATAAGAAAGATGCACCTACAACTGGGTCCAAGCACTAGGAATTCTCACGAGCTCCCAATTTATTTATTTTGGCATCAGAATGATTCTGCAAAAGAGACTCAAATAAATATATACAAAAACGTAATGTGATAGCTTCAGGCTACAAAAATATGAAAGGGAAGTGAAGCAAATTAAGTATAAACAAGTGTAATGAGTTCTACCTTTGACTGCAAGATTTTTTGGCTGTCGCTAAAATACTGATTAGGATGGTTAATCCCGGAATCGCATGATGAGTTATGAACAGCTTCAAACGTTAAGGTGCACGCCAACTAATCAAATATGTTGTAAACATCAACCCCATGTCAGAACAAAAAACAAAACATTCTGAAAGCAATTCAAATGCAGATGATAATTTTGAGACCTGATAATGTCTATTTTGCACTTTGTCCATTACATTTTCCACTGCTCTGCCGTCAACTCCCATTTTATTTAGAGCCGCTCTAAGATTCTCTTCACTGCCACATAAATTAAAGGGAATATAAGGGTAGAGCTAGACAGTAACGTGAATTAGGAATCTCAGAACCTCCGACAATGGTGTCACATGTAAAGACTTGTTCACTGATATCGACAAAAGGAATAATAAATACAATGATTGAGGTGATGCAACTAATTTGCTTAAGAGAGTAAACAATCCTCTTGGTTTCTAAAAGCTAGTTGCTTAGAAACCAAGAGGTCATTGTGTTCTTGCAGTACATCATAAACAAAGAAGGGACACTTTCCAATACAAATACGCACACACTATGAACAAATATTTGCACTATGATCATAAACAAGGGACACTTTCCAATACAAATACTGTACGCAGGCAAGAACAACAAAGGCAAATCATGAAAGGATTTGACGTGAAGATTAAAATAAAATTGTAATTTTGGATGGTGTATATCACCAGAGTTTGATTGTAGAGCTAAAAACGATTACTGACAAAAATAGGGCGCACGTTAGGTTTGGTGGACTGCCGTTTTTTTGTCTATTTCAGACGAGGAGTTTCAAGATTTTCAATATTTGAACCGAATTTAGGAAATTTATTTGGTCTATTGCGTGCTTATCGTTCAAAGTCAAAAATAAAAATTACGAGGTTTAGTTGTAGAAATGACCTGAAATGTCGATAAGGGCACCCGTGGTGATCTCCTGCACCAGGGGTTGATGAGATGATTTTTTGACAAGAGTAAGGTGAATAGTCCTGCAATAATAGTAACCCCACGCTTTAATGCAATCAAAATGGACATAAGTATGAAAACTTCATAGCTCTTCTAGGTTTAGAAAGTCATTAGCAACATTTCTGAAACAATGACTTTAATTGTAGCGTATTTTTCACAATTTATTTTCTCAAAAATCCTATGTTCCACTTCTAAAACCTAATTACGGATGAGAAACGTGCGCCATACTTCTAAACAATGAATGCACTTAGAAACTCTTTTGAAAGTTTCTAGGGGGGGGAATCTCTTTTGAAACTGGAGTTTGGCATCTTACCGTTCTCTTCCCTTCTCTTCCATAATTATGGCGTATGCTATATGCGTATTCTTTGTCAAACCTCTCTGCACCAACCTATGGTAAAAAGATTAGACACTAGGAATCTTGTTATATCGTGGATTCACAACATGCAAGGAAGTATAAACAATGACATTTACAACTGCAACTTTATTATCATGTATTCATGAGATAATTTAGTGATCCTTCGTATAAGTCAAGAAAAGGTCATTGTGTTCTATAACTTGCAGTACATCATAAGTTGCTCGTAGTAACAAAGATTTTTCAACTACTATCAAAGTAGAGGGGAAGTCTCATTACAAAGTACAGCTTACAACAACAAAAATAAAGATAACAACTACAATAATAGATGGAACAAATAAATTATGCGGACAGTACTTCTACAATACTAGTTCCATTTTCACCAACTCACCTTTTGAGAGAACTCAGCTTTCCAGAAAGCAATGGCATCATCCAACTTTAAGCCAACACCCTGCGTGAGGTGGAGAGAAACAGCAAGTAAACAGGTTCATAAGGCCATCAGGCATCAAAAGAGCTGATATACATGTATAAGCATAATGGACTGCAATGCACATATGTGTGTTTGGATGTATATGCAAATACATTCATTTGAATACTCATTATAAATCTCATCCTTATGCACAAATCTGATGCCTGAAAACTCTATTTGATTATACTAAACAAACGCATGGTGTATCAAACTTTCAAAAAAGGTAATAAGTCCTGAAAAAAAAAAACAAAAATATAACATGGAAAAGCATAAATGGAGTGTACTGCCACAGGCATCTAAAATCCCATCAACTTGAATACGCCCTCCTATAGAAGTATGATACAACCTTGAGAAAGAGACCTAGTTGCATCCTCCCTCCATGCTTTAAATGATGATCCTCCCTCAGCTGCATGAAAGATAGATGTGCGATGAAAACATAAGCAATGATAAAATAAAGGAAACGCATTGGAACGAGAGCATACTGAGATATGAGGGACTTATTTTGTTTCCAAAATTTTACCTTTTCAAATAGGTGGCGCATACAAAGAGGAAATGAACTCTTGACCAAGTCATCGATGTCTTTTAATGAAATCTCAGAAAACCCTTTTGGCTACAGAGGCAATAAAAATAGAGATCATTAACTAACACTCTGTTATGATAATTCAATGAGTGAATTTGCTGAACCATGATGTACCTGAGAATAATCAGGACCCAAGTAACTTGTGCATAGGGCTTCCACGATCTAAAGAGCACCAAGAAAATATCAAGCATCATACTTAAAGATAATTTTCTGTTCGACATACAAAGTTGACAATCAAATACTCACAGGTGCCAAGCGATCCTTTTCTTGTTCTCTTATTGTAGATGTCCATTTTCTGCATGCCAAAAGTGCAGCCTCTAAATTTTGGAAATTTAAATGCCCAAGCATTTACATGTTTTGACCATAGGAAGAAAAAAATATAAAATCAACTAGACAACCATGACCAAGAAAGCTGAGTATAAACACCGAGGAAGACAACACGATGGTTTTTCATTTTTTCTAGAATAATAAAATACCTGTTTGTCAAAATGAGTGCCTTGGATAGATGACTACGAAATTGTGTGGCAACAAGGGAAACAACCTACAAGGAAAGGGGGCAACAAAAAGAAATAAACATAAATGAGATCAATGTTATCTTGGTGCAATAACTTGTAAAAAGTATCAACTTCAACCTGAGTAGAAGCTACATAAGCATGCCCCTTATGGATGAACACTCTCCGACCAGCTACGAGTTCTGGAACTTCTTCAAAAGGTACCTTCATTAATGAAGTCGCGAGGGAGGGAGAGACAATAGGGAAAAACATTAATTAACAGTGAGCTGCTAAGTTGAAGAATAGCCCCGTAACAAAATGCTTGGATCATAATCAACTGACTTTATGGTGATAACCTAAAATGTTTACTTTCACCAAGCTAAATTGACAGAGGGAAACACAGCATGGGCTAGGAAACAGGTGGTAATAACAAAATACAGAATAAGGCTAATGAATATCAATTCTTTATATTTTCTTTATCCAAAAAGCAACAAAGGCAATGTTTAGAACAATCTACTTGCATTAAGTTTTTATATGAGGTGCAAATGCAACCAAAAGGATAAATTTATGTCACTAAAGTAAGCAAACCAGAAAGCGTAAAGAACCAAATAAAGATAAACATACCTTATAGAATATTGCATCAGCTGCAAAAGAAGGGGGGAAATAGAAAGGAAAACTCAAATTAGAATAGAATCAAGTAATGAAAGAAGCATGAACCATCATTGTTACTGTAAAATTTCCAGATGAGAAAGGTGTTGAACTTCATTAAAAAAAAAAAAAAAATCGCGTAGATAGTAGTTTCTACAGAAGTTTAAACATAATTACCTCCTATAAGAGGGAAAACATAAAATTAAAGGAAAACGAAGATGGATGACAGGCACAAAATTATTGACGCATCCAGTGACCAAATTGAAGAATCACAGATATGAGCAGGGGAGGAATTAACAATTTGAAGAATATAAAAAAAAAAAAAATCAACAAATCATCTGCTCCTACCTGTTGGTAAAGACATACCAATGGAACGTGCAACTTGGCACAACTTATCTTTTACACTCTGCAGAAGAAACCAATAGCCACAATCGTAATAGCATCTAAATATGAAAAACCCACAATCGTAGTCTCTTTAAAGAATGCTGAAATTAAAATCATTTGTATAAATCAATATCATATAAATTCGAAGAACCCAAACGAACTGTAGTTACCTCAAACTCTGAATTGCTAACTGCCTTGTATGAAAGGTCAAATTCTGCCATGAGAGACCTCTGCAAATCTCACAAGCAAAGTACAGAAATCTTCAGAATCTAAATAGAATGCAAAATACGAAATATCGCCACAGAACAACCTGATCCTACCTGAGCTTCAGCAGTTTCATGTCGGAATCGGTAGCGAAATAGGGCAGTCTCCATGGGAAGAAACCACTTTCTCAAGTCCTCCCTTAACAAAGATATGAAGATAAACAGTGAGAAGAATTATTTGTAAGAAACATATTCCATTATTAGAATGGGAGACTTTTTTTCTTACGTTCTGCAATACACGAGTCGGAGAACAAAGTGCGATATTATATCCTTGTTGACAACCTCAGACGCCTGTGGATGCCTCATGTTTGCTCTCCATAGATCCTTTGCCTGTAAAAAGTCCCACTGGTAACTACCTACAAGAATCTAAAATTGCAAAGAAATAAATAAATTCAACTCAAACCATATCATATTTACCAATTGTTCCATTTCTTCGGTTTTCTTTCCTCTGGACAATCCATCAGAAATCCCTTTGAGTACTGCAACAAGCAAAAATTGCCATCTTTACCAAATACTTCACTAAAAAAATCTAAGTTTGGATCTACAAAAATATGTAATTAATTATTTTTTTTTTATTTTTTTGCTGTACAAATTCATCGAATTCATCCAATTAGGCAAGTGATCTGTATGAAGCTCAGCTAAGTATTGATTTTATCAAAGCATTTTATTTTTCTTTTTCGCCCAACAATTTCATCAAATTCATCCAAATTAAGCCAAATATCTAAAACAAGCTCAATTAATGAAGAGCTTCATTTCTCCAAGCGATCAATCGGGTGAAAGAGCTACAGAGAACAAAAATCCGGAGACAAAGAAACAATATGTTAAAAAGAAGAAAATCTAGAGAGAGAAGATTACCTCGGAGGCGATCCATGGCGAAAAGCGTGAAATCTTCGAGGCGAACTTCGAGCGCGGGAGCGGAGCGGTAGAGAGGGAGGGTAGAGACGACGTCGTTGGCGATGGATTTCCTGTGAGATCGAGCGGATTCCATGGTTTTCTGCTTCTGAAACCTGTGGGGGATTTGCAGAGGGAGAAAGAAGTGAAGGAACCCTATTTCTTACTTTCTTTCTTCCCGCGCAAAAGAGTGTCGGAGACTCGGAGGCTTAAAAATGGCGGGAGACCGCTCGCACGTGTTTTCGCGGCAAAGTGTCACGTGATTGGTTTTGGGCTTTGGAGTGTGAATGCCACGAGGCCGGATCAGGATTGGCCTGGGCGGTTAGAGTTCTTGCTGCTTGGTTAAAATTGGTCTGGGCTGTCAGCCCAATTCTGAGAAGGCCCAAAATTCATCTAAACCAACTTGGAATTTGTACACGCGGGAAAGGAGGCTATGCCCTTGCTGCGGGTTCGAATTGTGTGAGTATAAACCTTTAGATTTGAACTTATACGTGAGTTTTATATAGCTTAAATTGGCGTTTGATAGTATAAGATCTAAGCAAATAATAAAATTTAAACTAACATTTCGTTACATTATTAATACTATTAAGTTTTTAAATGTGAGTAAAAATAATGGATGAGAACCTTTAAATTGAGTTACGAATAGTAAATTAGGTTAAAACATTATTCCGTTTGATAGATAAAAAGGCAGAATATTAAAAAAAACCCCCCGACGGGAATTACTCAAAGCTGATCTCACCTTGAGGTCGACTGTTAAGCAGATAGAGGTGGCAAAAGGGGGATAGAGTTATAATGCTGAAAAAACTACACCCACCGCGGTCTCATTGCCACCTAAAAGGTTTGGGAATTCGGGTTATGTGATGAAGACCAAATTTGAGGTCACAAGAAAGTCTTTTTTCCCCCCTTCTCCTAAACGATTGTAATTTTCTTTTTAAACTTCAAAACGAGAGATTTGGACTCATTCTCAATTTTAGAAACAATAATAACATTGTGTGATCTAATTTTTATTTTTAACAATTGAGCTAAAAATTAAACCTTCTAACAATATTTAGAAATAGTGTGAGTTATCATTAGAGGCCACAGTAAAAACATAACTAAATATGCTTTCTCCCTTACTTCTAATCAATATTGATTAGAGGAAATCCCCGATTGTATTGCACATACTGTAAGTGCCGATGTGGCCCCTACTTTAATATCATTTCCTCGAGCTTGCTTTCCAATAAAAAAAAAAAAAAAAAAAAAAAAAAAAAAAAAAAAAAAAAAAGAAAAGAAAAGAAAAGAAATTGCATGTTCTTTGGTATGACTACGTAAATAGAAAAAATGCACTATAATTACCACGAAGAATTTTGAATTCCCACTTTTATGTAGGTATAAGCATTACTCGACAGCCACATGAATAAACATTATAACAAAAATAAAAATAAAAATAAAAATAAAAATGATCAGAGGAGCATTATTATTGTTCAGGAACCAAGTTGCACGGCCACACAAATGGTACCGTAGAACCGGAGTACTACCGGGAAAAGAAAAGAAAAGAAATTGCATGTTCTTTGGTATGACTACGTAAATAGAAAAAATGCACTATAATTACCACGAAGAATTTTGAATTCCCACTTTTATGTAGGTATAAGCATTACTCGACAGCCACATGAATAAACATTATAACAAAAATAAAAATAAAAATAAAAATAAAAATGATCAGAGGAGCATTATTATTGTTCAGGAACCAAGTTGCACGGCCACACAAATGGTACCGTAGAACCGGAGTACTACCGGACAAGCTTCCTCTTTGTTCCCCTTTTCCCCTCCACCTACCAAATAACAATGGACAGTTCGTACACAGAGAAAAAGGAGGGCAAAAAAAAAAAGGTAAATTTAACTGCATTAAAAAATATGGTCCTAATTTAAGACAATACTAGTTGCTCTACAAAATTCAGTACCCTGTCCTTTCCATAAATTTGGCTTGGGCACTCGTGTATTATGGGAGGGTCACACCCACACTTCTCAGAATCAAACACTGCAGACATTCTTGCCCAAATATAATCTAACGGTGTATCTATCTTATATAGATGTCTATTTATTTGTACGTACAAAGATCATCAAAGTCTTTGACTAGCTGCTGAACGCGTTTGTTGTAGCATTCCGTTTGTCGCACTGCGAGTTCTTGTTAGAAACGATGCACTAATCCTGGGAAATCTCATCATCCCAAACCGACCAGAACCCGGAGAAACATTGTTCAAGTCTTCTGAAGCACCCATCCCATTGGCAACCCCACGAACACCCAATTCCCCAATGACTTCTGAAATTCCAGTAACCTCCTGAAATACAATGGATCTCTGTTCATTAGTCGCATCCTAAAAATAGTTGCAACGTAAGAATCATTTTGCATAACAGAAAGTCAAACGGATAATTAAGCTAGACTAAACTAACTAAATATGTAAGATGTTAGTAACCGTCCTTCCTACATTGTGCTTGTGCTTCAGGGTTTTATGTGTAACTCATGAATTGTAATATTTACGAACCTGGTTGGATCCACCGGAATCAGAGGAGGGTTCCGAAATCACAACAGGAGGCAAGGACCCAGTCTGCTAAAGCACAAATAAAAACTTTTTAGAAAAGTAGAAATCACCTACAAGAGCATATCATGAATTTAATGAAGCACTTTCAATTTGTAAAATTATGCTATGTGGCCAACAAATGTTTAACGGAACAGGTTTGAATGCCAATTCAAGAAGGAAGACAGAAGTAGTTTAGTATCAAACTCATGATATTATGAAAGCACATCACACCACACGACTTTTAAATAACGACTTGAAAAATTTTTGCTTTGAAGTTTCCACAAAGCTAAAAGTAAAGATCGATTAAATGTGCTGTAAACTAATGTTTATGGTCAAGAGACTAAAGGTTACCCTTGCTGGTGAAATTGGAGGTAGCTCAAGGGCCGGCCTCAAGGAACTGGATGGTATTGCCTGTGTTTCTTGAGAAATGTCAATTTGGAATATGGATAAAAATCAACAATATACAAATAGAAAGAGCACAAAGTAATCTTGAAGTAGCCCTGACTAATTTGAGTCTTTGAGAAAAAGAAATTGTATACCATACTGTACGACTTAATTTCTTATAAGCTTGGATTATATTGACTACCCAAACTCAGTAACCGGAGCTAGGTCACAAATTGTCTTAGAAGAACCGGATTTTGAATTTTTTAAGGCTGAACTATGCAGAGAGCATTAGTAGACGTTTGGTTCATAGAATAGAATCATGAGATTAGAACTATTTTCGATTTACGTGTATTTTTTGTGAGAGAAAACACTGTAGTGAATCATGAACCATGATTCAAATCATGGTATGAATCCTGTTACCAAACATCTCCATAAAGGACAGAATGATTTAAAATGAGCTGAAGTAGAACATGCGACTGTAATCTTGCAAGTGTATGAAGTGGAACGTGTGCCTACATAAAAAGTTCAAAACACACCTGAATCCGTTCTTTGGCTCTGTCATTTTCTAAGTTCCAGGCATAGTCGCATAATCTCCTTACTCCTTCAGTTGTTAAATCCTATGCATGTGAATAAAAAAAATTATTAAAAAAAAAAAAAAAACCATTGTTGTCATCATAAAGCAATAGTTAAGTAATTCTTCATAATTATTTGACAATAAAGATCATTGAAGATACCTGCTTCCCTTCTATTCTATTGATTTTAGTTTCCTGAGACACCAAGGAAAAGGAAAAAGAAAATCAGTATTAAATATCAATATCCATAAATTAACTTGTTAGAGAAAGGAGAGGAATTAAAGTATTGTGAAAAAATGGATCACCAAAGTCTGGACTGCGAAATGAACAGATCTAACATCGACACCAATCGAATCTGTTTTTCCCCGTAGTTCAGAAACCTAATGAAAAACATTAAATGTTTAAAATATCCATGTCCAAACTGAAAAAGTAAAAATAATAATAATAATAATAATAACTTTTTTTCTGCTACCAAATTCGTAGCTAACATCTCACAAAACCCACCTCCTCTTGCGTTCTAGTAGTAGTTTCAAGACACTCATCCAAACCACAATCAAGGCCATCAATTTGTGAAGATAACTTCCGCTTGGTAACCTGGAAATGAAGAAAAATGCCTAAATAAAAATCTTGTGCCTTTTTTTTGTACAAGAAAAAATTAAACTACAACTGTTGAACACTTAATAAATAAAAATTACAGCGACCCTCATCAAAGATATAAGAATGATAAGAAATAAAAAAATAAAAATAAAAAATAAAAAAAAAAAACTTGCCGCAATTGACGAGTAAACATTCTCAAGTTGTTTCGAGATAGAAGTGCAAGCATCGGATAGACTACGCCGCGTAGCAAACATCATATCCGGCAGTCTCCACCCCTATAAAATACAAGGAATTCACATAAAAATGCAGTATCAAACATTTTAATGAGAATAACACAAGAAAGGGGTTACATATGAATAATACCTTTTACTCTCTTAAAACATGCACTTTTGTTCAACTTAAAAACTTACAAAAATATTTGGCTGAAAAATATAATTTTAAGATAATGTTGAAACAAATTAAATCAAGCCAAAAAAATGAGTTAATAAATATGGACGACCAACATAAGCCACAATAGACTGAGCCTCGACCAAGAATTTTCCACTCTCAGTTAAATTTTTTTCCACGGCAGTACAGACGAACCACTACCAGATGAATACTGAGCAGGCAATTGATATATTAAAAAAAAACACTAATACTGAAATTAAGATACTTGAAATCCTAATTCTGCCCACATATCAAGACAGTTAATAGAATCTTATCAACTGGAACAATAAGCTATTGAAGACAAAATTTTACCTTCCACCAAATATAGCCATATCCCACCACAATTGTAACAATAATTATACCATACTTGCTGGAACCTGGATTATATCCAGCAAGGGAAAAATTGCTTCAGTACAGAAAATTTATAGATACAGCATTTTGTTAGAAACTGCGAATATGAGAGAACAAAAAGTTTGGTGTCATTAAAGAGATAGGACAAAGGAGCATTAGCCATTACGAAGACAAGTATGAGTGTCGTGTTGGTAAACTTATTTAGAAAAAATATTAACAGCAATCATTATAATCAAGACATGAAAAATATGCAAGAAATTCTCCATATATTACAAAGTTTGTTATTATAAAGATATTAAACAAAGACATGAAAAACAACATATGAATTAGATAAAAATAAATTGTGTTGACTATATTGTTGTTACAGATAGGTGACAATCAGCCATTAGAACAAGAACTAGCAGAATTATTCTTAAAAGGAAAAAAGACATATAAACACTACCAGCTCGACTTGTAGTTACAATTGTGACAGATCTGTTTGACGCTAACATCTCAAGCTCCTTTCGAATGATGTCAACCTGCAAAACTTGAAGGTCAAATCACGACCCACATTTATTTAATGTTATAACAATAGAAATCTATAACAAACTTTGAAAAACATAAAAACCTGGGCCATCAGTGAGTCATCACGGGGCTTCTTCACTGTTGATGATCTTGTATCATCTTTTGCTATACGCCCCAAAGCAAACTGTGGTAAGAGGTCAAATCATCATTAATTGTTAAGATTAGCCCAACGTGCACTCACAATCAATCCACAAAATTATAGTAAGGCCGCTACACAGCCAAAATGACACCAGTAGCTCATGGACTAACCTAATTTCTTTTAGAAAATACAATGAGTGCAAAAAGGAAAAAAAAAAAAAAAACATAAAAACCTTTAGGCCGCATGAGGTAGCAAGAATAATTAACAAATTGATCAACTTAATAAATACAATAAATGCAAAAACTTTAGAAACTGCTTATTCCCTAGATGGCTTCAAGAAAAATGCGAAGTCTAGAAAGCTTAACAGGAAACTTAAAGAAGATTCAAGTTTGAAACAATATCTAACACTTTGAGTGCAAGCCAAGCATACATGTAAAACATACCGATTTCAAAGTGAAGTTCAAGGATTATACAATACAAAAGAGAAAATACATTTGGATTAGACCCTTTCCTCCCAAAAGGAAAGGCGCCAAAAAGTCTAATGGTCTTTGGAGACCACAAATTTGATGACTTCGTAGTGATAAAAGTACCTTGAAAGCACCAGAAACAAGATCAGATACCCGTCCTTCACTCGCAATAACTGACCCAACAATACCTAAAAACAACATAAATATACATGATAAATCATCTTCTTATGTCTTTCATATGAAAAGCAGACCAATCTGTTAACATAAGAACGACAGAATTGAGAGAAACAAATAATATCCAAACTTAACACCAGTATTGATAAGGTGAAAAGTCTAATTACTCTAATTACTTAGCGTAAGCATAATGCATAATTGTATATAAACTTCATTAACAGGAATGAATAACGCACCGTTTATCTAAAGTTAATGCGCTAAAATTTCTGCCTAACTATAACAAAAAAACCAATATTAAAAACTTTTTTTTATCAAATATGCGCATCATCTAATTCGAGCAGTAATGATACCAAGGGGATCTACTATCTAGGGTTTATCCAAAACCCTAACCTTTCATCGAACAAGTATAATACCAGTAATCACAAGCTAATTAAGCAGTAATCAGCTTTGGATACACAAAATCAGGAGCCAATTAAACGAATTAGGAACTGGAATTTATTAAGGAGTGTGCGGAATATTGTACGGACCTGCACCGACCAGAATGGTGAGCTTCCCGAGAGTGAGAGCCATGGCCGGAAAATTACGGCTTCAGGTACGTCGTATCGCCGCCGGGATTGCTAGGCGGAGGGGCTCATCGGCGTCGGAAAGTAGAAACGCCGTCGAGAATCGCAAGAGCTTTATAGGTTTTGTTGATCAATTTTGGTTTTGCAGAAGAAAAAAAAATGCCTGCCCTTGAGTTTCACTGTAAATCACAAGAGAGCCCTATAGGTTGGAGCTTAACTATTCAACGGGGAATATGCTTGCTTCTTCTTTATAGTTACTTAAGTTACGTAAATACCCTTGTGCTTTCCTTCAATGAGGGCACTTTTATGTCTTTTCAGTTTTCACTTTGAATAAGCGACAAGTCGTTTTGGGTGGTGTAAGCGACGGTCTGTTTACCGTGATGGGAACACTCAAAGACGACATGTCGTTTTATCATTAAGCACGATAGTTTAATAGACTACAGATCGTCGTGTA